CATTGCCCATTCGGGTTGCGCCTTTGTTCTAACGCCTACAATATCCTGTTGTCTATGTGTGCCCACACCACATGCCACATGCCGCATGCCGCATGCCGCATGCCACACGACTTGCAACAGCCAGTTTAATGGGCATATTTAGAAACATGTTTGGCTTTTATAAATTAAATTTAAATGCCATTAAATCTCAACTGATATGCTTAGACATGGAGGCCAAGAGATTGCAGTCAGGAAAGGTGCAAGCAGACGTTTGTGAGTGTCTGCCATGGGGCAACATTCTCATGTAAATAGACACACACACACACACAGAGAGAGAACAGCTAGATTAGAAAGTCGTCGTGCTGCATAGAGACAACAGTTTATGGCTCAGAAAGTCAATTTGGCTAAAACTCTTACAGCTCCCATAGGTAAAATGCGGGTGTTTTGATTCTAACAAGCTGTTTATAAGACTATCGCTGAACTTGAAACCGCAACGCTTTTCGTGTAGCTCTTAAGTTTGGACTATTTATTGCAGCACCGGCACCAAATCACATCCGCTGCAGGCAAACAAACGAAAGCAACAACAAAAGCTATTTATGTGCCACGTTTTGTATACTCTAGCGAAGGGTACTTCCAATTTGTGCCTCGGATTGTGTCACGCCTGGGCATAATAATAACGAACTGCAATTTCATTTAAATATATCAGAGAAATCCCAGAAAGAGCAGAACATTTCATTAGACAACTATATCTTATAACTCCCATACGAAGACATCGCAAACAGTATGGGGTTTTTTTTTTAATACAGAGTATTCAATGTTCGACAATCCTAACGTAACTCTTGCTGTCGTTGTGTTCGGCTACCCAACAAATAGAAATTAACGTTGAGTTCGCTGTGGCACATCAATTTAAAGTTCTTTATGAGCCGAACGGATCGAAAAAGCGCCGCACTTCAAAACCAAACCAAACGAAACGAAACGATCTTCGGTTTCGGGGCAAACGTCGTCTGCCTGTGAATGAAGCCCGCCGCAGTCTCGAGTATTGACGACGTTCAAGTCTGATGTCGGGCGGGGTAACGCATAGCTTAAAGTTCAATGACTGAAAGGTGCGTCGCTGTTGTTGTTGTTGTTGCTGCTGCTGCTGCTGCGGTTGCATAGAAATGCATCAAACTGAAACTCCGGCAGCGACTTTACGAGCTGTGGCCATGTATTGGCTATGGCAAACGTGCAAAAATGCAGCAACTGCAGATGCAGACGCAAACGACGATCGGCAATCAATCTGCAGATTCCAGTTGCCGTTCTTGGTGGCACGCAACAAGTTTCTTAGCCGTTGAACTTGTGGCCTTAACTGCGCGACGCTGTTCGCTGTTCGCGCACTTTTCAGCTACACTTGCTGCCCAAGTTGAGCAAACAACGCATCAGCATTAAAAACGAAGAGGAAGAATGTTATCTACCACAAAAGCAAATATGGCATAGCAGAGCTGGTTGGGTTCCCGAGTTCCCAGGTTCCCAGTTGGATTGCAGCTTATGCAACCTGGCGATTGCCACACGTTGCAACACCGGTTCGCCGAGACTCACTTGTTGTTTATAGTATGCACGGCGCTGTCAGCGCGCATCTATATATATGTAAGTGTTCTATCTCTATCTGTATCTGGCGGCCGTATCTGTATTCGTATCTCTATCTGTATCTGTATCTGTATCTGTATCTGTATATATGACTGTGCTGGCCGCGACTTTGCTTGGTTTACATTTCGGTTTTGCGCTTCAAGTGAGAACAAAATGTTGTTTGGGAAAAGTAAACAAAAAAAAAGAAGTAAAAAGAATTCCAACAGAAAAATAAAGTGCCCGCTGCCCCCAACACACCCAGCCCCAAGGCAAACCCGGCTGCAACAATCAAATGCTCGTCAGCGCACTTGAAATACAATAATGCGTCGAATGTTTAAAACACAAGAAAAAAAGAACAAAACCAAACTAACAACTATGGCAACAGACAATAACGCACAGTATCTGTATCTTTTGCCTTTATTTTTTTTTTTGGTGTGTATCTCATTTTTGTTGGTTAGTTGAAATTATTTGGCTGTGGCACGCAGCGTTTTTTTTCCTTCTTCTTCTTTAGAGCGCTTAAGGTTTATTTTCGTTGGCTGGTTTGTTTAGTTTTGTGGCGGCACACACAGACGTCGCACACACACACACACACACCCGAAACGACATGTTGCAGGTGGGAACAGGTTTTGTGCGCTGCTCAGATGCGGGCCATATCTTTGGTCAGGCTGCGCGTAATTTATTCCCACTGTGCCTGCAATTACTTTTTGGAACAGAACACAGACGTAAAAATAAAGAGGAAGGCATTAAAAAAAGCTCGCAAGTCGCAGCTTGCATACCCTTTCAATAACATTTATCTGTAATGTTAAATGCACATTAACTAACATTTCTCTGTTATGCTGAAACACCATCTACAACAACCTTGGACTTTTTTATATAAGATTGATGAGGCATGTGCTCATTTTATCAACCATTGCCAAGTGTACTTCATGGGATTAAATTTCACTGGCATTGGCAACACGTAGCAAATTAGCTTAACAGCCAAATGCCATGTGTGCACAAAACTATATACTGCCCACGCACACATATGTAGCTGTATGTATGTATGTATTTTTTCACATATCAATCGTGCCAAGTTCCAAGTAAATGGCCATCCTTTGGCCAAGTGGATAGCGGTCATGTTCAAAGTGCAGCTGCCTTCACCAACAAGTAACAACTCAAAGTGCAAACAGCAGCAGAAGCAGCAGCAGTCGCAACAGTAGCAGTCACTCATAGTCTAGTCACGTATGCGGCAGGCACAGCGCCTGTTTACATGTTGCCGAGCAATATGGCCGATTGATAGAGGTAGCAAAAAACACAAAACAAAAAAAAAAACTCAGCCAACGGTAACAGTTGCGCGCCTCTCTTCCTCTCCCTAGACTTTAGCAGAAAGACGCACCCCTGCTGCCGCACGCTTTGTCTCCCTCCACGCATGGCTGCACGGCCCCCTTTGAGGCAACTGCGGCTTAGTTAACATTTGCCCACAAATGGCAATGGCGATGGATGTCGCGCTGTAATGGCATTTTCTATTATGGGCACATTAATGAGCGGCGCTGAGCAACACTGGCAGGGAGGAGAGCGCGCGCACAGGTGAGAGCGGCCGTCAGCATAACTGCATGTGGCCGTTGCAGCAAATGCCAATTGCAAAATTACCAACTTACCAATACTTTAATATATGCGTGTGTGTTTGCGTGTGCTATGTGCTTGTAATTACGTGCTTCTCTTGTTCTGTGCGCTTCATACCTGAGCAATTAGCGCGCGCGCTGCTTTTGCTTGCAGCAGCTGCCTTTAGTCAGCAGCTGTCAGCTGTCAAAAGTAAACGGAGAGAGAGAGCGAGATGGAGCGTGCGGTGTTGCAAATCGATCGCATTCGATCACTCTGGCAACACTAAACTTTGCGGTAATGCCTTACAAAGAGCAGAAAGAATATGAAATGTGCAAAAAGCTGCAGTCAGCGTCGCCAGTCTGACGTCTGGCTGTATTTTTTTCTCGTAAAATTTATTGCACAGGCGCAAATTTCCAGCGAATAGCAAAATTCTGAAAATGCAAACGGCACGAAAAGAAAATTAAAAACACAAAAAATGCTGCACCAAGGCAATGCCAAATGTGGAGCGAGCTCAGTTCGACAGGCAGGCAACGTACTGCAACTTGTTGCTGCCACAAATCTTGAAGGCTTACAGACAGAGCTGAGTGCAACATACATAAATGCGCAAACATGTTGGCCACAATTTAACACAAGGTCGCGAACACAATGAACCAAAGCAACTTTAGCCGCTTATCTGTAATTGTAGTAGCAGCTAATTGTGCGAAGAGGCCACAGCTCCACCTACAACACGCCACGCCAGCCAGAGTGAATGTGCAAGAAAGAAGAAGCAGCAGCAGCAAAACCAGAAAGTAAACAAGGTGTTAATTTCGCGCTCTGCTTTTGCGCCGTGCAAATTGAATTTAATTTACAACAAAGCAAACGAAAGAAAAACGCAGCAAAGATAAGATTCCAGCACGACGCAAAGGCAGCCACCCACAGCACACACACACCCACACACGCACACACACACACTACGTGCAAGCACAGACGAAAGCTCGGCAGGCACGCATACTAAGCAGTAGAGGAGGGGGGAGCAAGGCAGCGAGAGATGACACTAGATAAGCTGCCTTTTGATAAACGCACTTGACTTTGCCAGCGACTCGCTATGAATGGCAATTCAAATATGCATGCATGCATATGTATGTACACACACATATATATACTATATACAGTGAAAGCTCTACTAACGTACAGCTGCTTTGGGCGGACATCTCAAGTGGTCGGCCGTTTTATTTAACCCCAATATTTTTTCTTAATTTGCTTGGGTGAACGTTTTTTGACCTAAACAAGTTTTATAACGAAAAATCTTTTATGAAAATTAGCCAACGGATAAATTTGATTTAAATAACAAATATCTAGATTTGTTAAATCAATTTTTTTTGAAGCAAATTGAAAAGATAATCTAAATTTGAATATGTGTATTCTTCACACAACACAGATTGTATGTTATGTTATGCTAATGCTTGGCAATAAGCCTATGTATGTATGTGCATGTATGTATATGTGTACTCATACTATAAATGTGAAGTGCGATTGTATGTGTATCGGCATTAACATTAACAGTTCAAAAGCATGTCCACATTTGTACAGAAGTTAATGTGACAATGCCGGAAGAGAAAATTAATTAAAATAGTTTTCGTTTGTAAAATATTAGGCTAAAGGTTGGGTTTACAGCAAAAATAAAAGTGAGTTGCGGATCGATCCTCTAATTTTGTTGCTAAATTGTTTGGAACATTAACCTGAGCAGGTGCTGTGGGTAATCACGTCAAGAGAGCTTTTACTGTACCTGCTGCATGTATGCGTGTTTCTTGATCATGTTCAAGCTTAAAGCATATATATTGTGTTCTTGGAATACTTACGAACTGTGACCATTTTCGGATCGTAGGCACAAACGCGCCGCTCGACGGCCGTGATCTTGCGCTGGACACGGCCCGCCCGCTCGCCCACCGACTGCAAGTCCCGCTGCAGCTCGTCGAAGATGTCGCTGGCAATGAGCACCAGGCTGGCCAGCTGGCGCAGCGCATTGCTCAGCGTTATATTGCTGATCGAGTCGAACTCGTAGCCGGACACGATCCTGGTCGCCGTCGGCGACTGCGGCGCGCTGGCGTTGCGTGCGGGCAGCGCCACGCGCTGCTGGCTGGGATGGCGCGAATTCGGCAGCGACTGGGAGGCACGCGCTTGCGTTGGCGATGTGGGTGTGGGTGTTGTGGGCGTGGTCGAGGGCAGAAATTCAACATGCTGCTTGAGTTTCTTCATGGGCAGCGCGGCCGGCGGGCGCGGCTCGGCGTCCGACTCGCCATTGGGCAGGACATGGACCAGCGCCCGGGTCAGGCTGGGCGATGTGGCTGATGTGGGCGTGCCGGCGTCCGTCTCATCCGGCAACTGTTTGTTGATGCAATTGTTGTTCTTGCACTTGCCGGGCACGCACTGGAATCGCGTCGAGGCATGCCCCAGACTGGCGGCTGTCGCCTGAGCCACATTCACCGGCTGCACAATACGCTGTACAAAGGGCATATCGCTAGCTGTTCCCCCTGCAACTCATTCAGACTGGCGCGTATCCAATCCAATAAAGAGAGAAAAAACGCAAATATCCCACAGCCGAAACTGGTCGAGCAACTTCTGGAGTTGGATCCTCTGCGGCGACGACGGCGACGGCGGCTCCTTCCAACGTTGTCTTCGGCTTTGCCTTTGGCTCTATTGTTTTCTGTTTTTGGCTCTGCGATGCTGCGGCAACATAAATTCCTTTGCTTTTAGCTGTTTACACACACACACACACGCACGCGCGCGCGCACGCATACACATGCACGCACAAACTAGTTGACCGCCTTAATGCGAGACTTTGGCCGGGTTTTTAATTGAATGTAAACCGAGCACACACACACACACACACCGGCGTTTTGGGCGGCAGTTATTTATGCACTCTGAACTGGTTTATGCTTTGCATCTCATACGGTGGCATTAAACACGCCGAACACGAATTGGTAATAATTACGATTTTATTGCTTCTTCTGTTTCTCAGGCAGGCACACTATTTCTTGCTTCTTTTTTATTGCCGTTACGCGTGTTTGCCGCTCATTCACAGTCGACACATCATTCAAAAAGGTGCGCACAACAACAACACCAACTACTACGGCAGAGCTGGCGTCCGCTCACACGTCCTACTCGTTTGCCGGTCAAAAAAAACTGTTAACGCAGACTGTTAATGTTAACGGCTGCACCAAGCTGTTATACTCAAAAGGCACGGTTATTCATCGATAGTACAGATATTTAAAATACAAAGTACAGATATTTAAAATAATATCGATAGACCGATAATAATAAGGTTAAATTTTGTCAGCATTTTACCACACTTATTTATGCCTGCATTTGCAGTATTTCGGTAAGTATATTTTTATGGATTTTGTGTATTTTTATGCTTGCATGTTACGGTCACTCTGTCAATAATATTTTGCTGTACGTCTTTATTTTAATTTCGACATCGGGCATTTTTCATGTTTACTTCAAATATATAAAACGTAAACAAACTGGATATTGCCGCATATCAGCATGCCCAAGTACTACTGTGACTATTGCGATACATATTTAACGCACGATTCGCCGTCGGTGCGAAAAACGCATTGCACGGGCCGCAAACATCGTGACAATGTCAAGTTCTACTACCAAAAGTGGATGGAGGAGCAGGCACAGCATCTGATCGATGCCACTACAGCTGCATTCAAGGCGGGCAAGATTACAAATAATCCATTCGCCGGACCCGCGCCGGGCAACAAACCAACCGGCGTTTCCATACCGCCGCCCAACATGGGAGCACCGCCACGTCCAGGAATGCCAAACATGCCGCCGTATATGCAACCCATGATGAATCCTCTGATGGCACCCACAGGCATACGTCCGCCACCTATCCTGAATCCGATGGCCATGATGGGACCGCCGCCACCACTGGGAACGATTCCTCCACAGATGATGAATGGACCGAAATAAAATATTGAAATTACGTCAAATAGCTAAGAACAATTGCAAATACACTATACATTTGTAAAACCACATTTGTTTTTGTATCATAATTCAAATAATTTCTATGTTAGACAGTTTAAAATGTATTTTAATGTTTAAAACGAACTTAAAAATGCCAGCAATTTCAAATAATGCACCATTTTTGCCCAATATTTATATGTATATAGAGCTGCACTCTTCACACGCACAGGCAAATTACACATTTCCATGAGTTTGAAAGCTGTCAGCTGTTTGCAATGCGGGCAGGCGGTTGGCCTTCCAATCCCTCCCCAAAACAACAAAAAGCTTGTTCAACTTGTTCGCGTTTGCACTTCCAGCGTCTTTGCCGCGTCACAAAAATAATCTTACAAACGAGCAATGGTGGTTGTTAGTGTTGAGTTGGAGGCGGCGTCGGCATGGGAAACGGGCGCAGCATTGGATGAGCTCATACAAAAGCCTCGAAACAAGTTTAGCTTTTTGGAAATGAGATACGAACACGTACATACATACATACATACACATAATATACATATTATTGTATGTGAATACATTGTGCCGCAGTGTTGTGCCAGTCTCAGCTTCAGTTGGACGTGAAACGTTAGCGACAGCGGAGCGCCCACGCGGAAAAAACGTTTGTAACAAATACGAGAAGTGTGTGTTCAAGCTCGCATTAGTGTGAGTGGTGTTTCTTGTTGAGTGTATGCGAATAAGAACAATAATACTGGCCGCCGTCGTGCTATTTTAGCAGTCGCTACTAATTGGTTCAATGCTGTTACGTGGCCGCAGCGTTGCTTTTAATTAACTAACTTACCACGGAGTTGGCACTTCAATCCGAATCAAATATACATACATATGAACATATACACACACACACACGTAGATAAGTGTAGCAGCAGGACTTCAGTTTTAAATTGGCCATAACACAAAACAGTTGAACAAAAATATAAAAAAATACAAAAAAAAAAAAAACAATATCCAAGTAAATTGTATGTGCAAAAAAAGGGAAACCTAAACAAAATCAATAATTGGCCGTGCCTGCGTGTTTGTGTGCGTGCGTATGTGTGTGAGTGTGTCAAACCTTGCACGCTGGACACTGAAGCAAATGCCATGCTGATTAAGCAATAAGTGAAGAAGAAGCAAAGCACAAATATCAACAACACAACTCGATAAGACAAAATGCAGCAGCAGCAACAACAGCAAGCAGCTAGCGTTGCCAATTCAACGATCGTCAACTCAGCTGTCGGCCTGACTCCTCCCGCTCCCGCTCCCGCTCTGTCGAACAGCAGCACACCCATTCGCATAGGCAGCGCCAAGCATGCGGGCGGCGGCGATTCGCTGCTGCCGCCAGTGGGCAACACCGCCTCCCACTCGGTGCCCGGCACCCCACAGCAGCAGACGCCACAGGCGAGCAGCGTGCCCACGGCAAGCGGCAGCCATTTGCACCTGCAGACAGCCGGTGCCCTCTCGATGGCCGCCTCCAATCAATCACTGGGCGTCAACGTCGGCGTCGGCGCTGGCGCCGGCAGCAACATCAGTGGCATTAACATAACGCCACCAAACAGCGCCGGGCTCAGGCAGTCATCAGGTGAGTCGTCTGGTGGTCAGCTGGTAACCAGGACACGTCCGTCGGCCAGCTAATCCCCAATTGCTTTTCAATGTCGTCTCGTGTCGTCATTTTGCGTTGCTTTTCCATTTCTATTGGCGGCTGGCTCAGGCAGCAGCTCACATTTTTCGCTCGTTTCGTTGTCGTTGTTCTTGTTGTTGTTGTTGTTGTTGTTGTTGTTTTTGTTTCTGTTTCCATCGCACAACACACACGCACACACATACATCTACATGCTAATCCATGCTTTGCTGCTGCCGCTAATTAAATACCCTTTCAAAATGGGTATGCGGTGAGGCATATTGTTTATGGTCAAATGCGTGTTACAGGCAGAGGCAGGAGGCATGTCCGAGTCCTTGAATTATATATATTCTGGGTCAGCATTAATAACCGGGTCTATCTGTCCACTGGAGATTTAGGGCGTGTCTCCTAGCAAGCGCAGATAGAGTCTTAGTTTATCAAGTTGTCACCCCATTTCCCTGAAATTGACAAATATTGATTTTCTTTTTTTGGCACACCACGCAAAATTGAAGAGTTGGGGCCGATAAATTTGGCGCGTGTGCCTAAATATGTATCTAGATCACAAATTTCTTACTGTTTTAATACCAAATCACCCGCTCGTCCTTAAAGTGGGATAGAAAAATAGGCGCAGTTCTGCTTTTGTGTATATGTGCACAGTTGCATGTTATGTTCAGGTGCATTTTAACGGTTCGATTATAAGCCTCGGAATAATGCAAAGCTACATTAGAAGAAGCACGAACTCTGTGACAGATTGTGAACAAGCGTATATAGACAAGTTAGATTATGTATGTCAGTCACAATCTAGTGCTGGGCACAGGGTATCTGTTAGTCGGTCACCATCGACTAGAGCAGTTCTGTTCTGTTTTGATTTGGTCGCTGCTCCATTTCAATGGCAGTCGCCGCAAGTCGACTAATGTCGACTATCGCATCAAACATCAAACACTTCCGCTCTGCCCCTCATCCGCTCAAGACCCGGCCTGGGGCGGGGGTCAACAGAGAGGCTGGGCGTTAGTTGTTTATTGTGTTTGGGTTGCGTTGCTAAGCTCTGAACGCAGCACAGCAACCACCATTTGAATGCCATTTGAAATCGGCTTTGGCCCATGTCACTTGCACTTGCACCTGTTCCCGTCATAATTCACGCATGAACACACGTCCATACAGTTTTCACTCATTAACTAGAACCTTTCGTTTCAAGAGCTCATTAAATGTATCCATAAGCTGTATGTACACAGTTGAAGACAAAACGTCGAACATGGAAGAGTTCTACAAATGCGAATCAATGCTTTTTGCCTAGCTAAAAACTGCTTCCAGCCAATATCCTACTTAACGAGCGACCACTGTACGTGTGTTTGTGTTATGCGTGTTTGTTTCTGTGAATGCCATACAGGTCGCCATAGTTGCCCATTGATTGCCATGGGCCGCTTGCTATTACCAATTTACAAAGCTCAACTGGCTTTCATCAAACCAATTAATGTCTGTCAAAATTGGCCTATGCATAAACATCAATAGGAACAATTGCATTATGAGAATTGCCACTGGAGCGCGTGGCGAACAATTAGGCGTAGGTCTGAAATTATATGTGTACATTGCTCGCTCGGAAATGGGATCAATTGTAATTGCATTCGACGTGCAATATCTTAAATTCATATTTTGAAAATATTTCCTTTAATAGTTTGTATATAGAATATAGGATTTTTCTGAAAATCATTGTTTTTATGGAAAAATAACTTTCGAAGCGATTTAATTTTCCTTCATTCAGTGTATTGAATTTTCTCCATGTTCGAAATTAACATATTTTCCGAGTATTAAGTATTCACAATTTAAAAATATAGTTTTAATATTACTTGTAATTAATTTGCTGAGTTTAAACATCAAACTTTAGTACAGCTCGCAGTGCAATAATATATAGAATATTTGACTGCCTATCACATTGTCAGAGTATAATAGCCTTTTCTAGAGCTTCGCAAGATTTCTTAGATTTATTCTCGCTAGCTCACATTCGTTATGTATTGTGTCGTAAGTAATTGACATAACATTTTTAGCAGAGATTTTTATTATATTTTTTTGCAGTAAACATTGTGCAAATAAACACATATACACGCACGCTCACAATTAGCTAACACGCGCAAACTTTTGGGCATTTTTTTATTGGCCTTCGGCTTCGACACAGTGGGGCCAAAGGCGTCATAAGGGCCAACTGCAGGCCCTGAGCGCTGAGAAATGCAGCATGTGCCAACTGCTGCTGCATATACAAATGTGCCTTCCTCTGCCTCTCGAAACAAAAAATGGAAGAAAACAAAAATCGATGCGTCACTGCGTTTTGTGATGTGTCCATTTTCATTTCATAGCATTTTATTTCATTGTGCTTTTATTTTAGTTTGGCCTAGCCTGGGCGGGGTAAGGGTTAAGGGCTCGGCTTGTGTACCATAAGGCATGCAGTATTCTATTTTTGTTTCGTTTTGAGCTTCAGTGGCAAAGGTCAGAAGTGAGAGCTGCACTGTGAACTTTAGTCTTGGCCCCATCCGGGCTCGTTCCTTTTTTATTTTATATCATCCGTTGATGAAAATTCGCTTTTACATTTGCATAACGAACGAATTTGAACGTCATCTCTAGCAGAGGGTTGCATAATTTATCTATTGAATGAATATACATCAGTTATCCATTTCAGTGTGTGTGTGCCTGTGTGTGTGTTGAATATTTTATAGCGTGCTTTTGGGCAAATTACCGTGTAATAAATTAGAGAGTCGTGCGAAACTCGATGCACATATGCATATTGATTGCTAGCTCCACCTGCCGGCCGCCGTTTGCATATCTAATGAGTTTGTGCCCTCCCTACACTCTAACAGCAGTGCTCCACTTACCTATGCCGACTGCCACATTGACCAGCCCCCCATATAATTGGATTATATAGAATCCCATATACATAAACAGTGCGGCACAACATATGTATGGGGGCACGACATGACGTCAAGTACAAAGTGAGGCAACAACAAGTTGCCTGCCGCTGTTACCAGAATTAAAAGTGCATTCGCATGTTGACGTCATTCATCATTTGCGGTCAGCATTGACCATTGGCCAGCTCCAGTTTAATGGTCATCGAAAGGTGACCATCAGCCGCCTCGATGACACATCGTGTGCGTATCGGACTGTGCGCTCTAGCTGGGCGCTCCTCTAGCCGTATCTTATCGCTGGCATCGCTGTGGCGAGGCGGGGCGAGACGTGGCAAGGCAAGGGCCGGGGAATTGCGGCTGCAAGCACTTTATTTAAAATCAATCAATGCAACCTATCCTCGCATCCTTTGCTATCCTGCTATCGTCAGATTAAGCAGCTGGTTGGCCAACACCCTAGTCTGCTTGTTTATTGAGGACAGCGTGCTGTGCTTAATATCCGATGACAGCAAATTGATAGCGACACTTAATTTATTTACAGCGATTAATTAAGACGTCCAATAAAAGATGCCCTGCAGCTAGACAATTGCTGAGATACAATTAGATAGGGTTACAAATTAAGTGTGCTAAATCATGATATATACAGCTTCATTAAAGTTGATAATATCGATAATTATCGATCTTTTTGCTAACAGCTAGTTAAATACTGACACGGGCTCTGATAAGATAACAACCCAATTGTTTCCCATCATGATATGAATCACTATGAAAATTATTTGTAATTGTGTTGACTGCAATGCTAATTTTCTATATATTTATAGCAGCTCGTCAATGGCTGAGATACGGCCTGACAAATAAATAGATCTATATCACGATATGAAAGCAACTGATATGTAGTATGATTAGAATTGGGATTAAGATAATAGCTCGATATGGTGATAATTACCGATATTTTATTTTCAACAATAATAGTTAGTTTCTAAGAAATTAAAGTAAGCCACACTCAAAACCAAACTTCTCATCTACATATTAATTTGCGCTTTGTGTTTATTCTTTACTAATATGGTCACAATCTCGTTCATTTGTTTATTCGATCTGTGCTCTTGTCTATTGTTAATCTTCTAGACTGCTTAGTGTGAAATGTTTACTTTGTTTTGGTTTCTTACTTTTCAATGTCGTAAACATGAATGTAAATGTGTGTGTAGTAAAACTATAGAACTATAGAACTACCTAGTTGTATTGATATAAATTGACTATTCTATGGATATATTGTTCGCTTTCTCTATTTCTTCCTTTCTTTTAACATATTTCATTCTATGTATGGGTTAAATGCTCACATTAACTGCAGTATTCGATTTCAAATTCAAGCGTCGACCCTCGCAAAAGGTGCTTTTAACCAAACTGCCCTCCACAGACAGTTTGAGCAACAGCCCAGCGCCATCATCGCCAGGTGAAGTTCTTTTCCAAATTTTGCACAGTTCACAGTTGAACGAATTATCACCGATTATTTAATGGATCATTGAACATATCGCTTTACAATTTATTTAACCGATAATTTCATCGATAATTTCACCGATAATTTCACTGTTTGTTTCCACGAATATTCCACATACCATTTCAGCAAACAATTCACCGATCATTCCACTAGCTACTTAAAATTTAGCATAGCACTTCCGTGATCATTGCACCGATCATTTTACCGATCATGCTACTGATGAAACTTCAATTTTCACATATGATAGTTGGATGATAATTCCGGTGATCACACTGGTTTTTTCGCCGATCATTAAATGAATGTATGAAAATTCGACACATATTTTGCACATTCATTTAACTTTTGCTTTCGCTTATTGTGATCATCAGCCCTCGGATCGTTAGCCCTATATGCAGTTGGCTAAAAAAAAAAAGGCCGCATTTGTATGCATATCTCGATTAGTTTGCTAGTTAAGTATTCACTTAGCCATGACCGTAGACCAGCCGCTGGCCAGTCAGTCAAGCGTTACCATATCTCTGACGCATTTGGCTGCCATTTGTATGATTTTGCTTTCGTTCTCATCTATTGTGTGCCGCACGGTGCATTATCAAAAGCTTTTCAGTTATTGTTGTACGCGTATTGTATATTTTTTGCGACATTATGACTTAGAATTGAAGGCGATTCTTCCCGCATCCCCGTACCCCGTTCCGCCCATTTCCTGGATGAAAGATGCCAACAGTCTGGCTGTGGCTCTGCCTCTGCCTGACAACCTGTCCAATCATATCTTATCGCCCCATTTATAGTTATATTTAGTTGTTGTAGAACTTAAAAGTGTTCGCACTCTCGATAAGCCTTAATTAATGGACAAACACAACAACACAGCGTTGGCATTCAATTGAAAAGCCCGCTCATATAACATTTGACTGCAGAACTTTACGATAGCAACGATAAGAGGGGCTCTACATTCTTTTTGTTTTTGGGACAGTCTGAATCATCGGCGCCATTCGACCTGTCAGCAATATAGGAATATGAATAACGGGTTGCCGAACACCTGGTTTCCTAGCCAATGTTTCATTCTCATATCTTAAGTCTGCAGTCAAATGTTCTAAGTTCAAAGCACATCTGGCATCTAATGCGAGCACGGGCTGCTTTATGAATTTGTTTATTATTTTATTTACCACATGCATTAAGGCCAACACATGCGAAAGCGTCTACGAAATGAATTATGACAATTTCAGCACGTGTGGCAGGCGTTAAAAACATCTAACTTAACAACTTGCAGAAACTGAAAACTTTATTTATTATTTATTTAAGGCGAATATTTATTTAAAGGCGTCCGCTGGGAATTTTGAAATGTATCTATAAGTTAGACTTCTTATTTTGTGAATGATTATTGAAAAATTGAATATTTACCTATTTCATGAATTCAAATACATTATATAATAGTTTTGAACCTTTCATTTTTGTGCACAAATGTATAACTTCCAGAAGTACAATTATTTTTTGCAATTCGTAAATTTTCTTTCTTTTTTTCTGGAAATTAGACTTTTCGCCAGTTCCATAAATTTGGTCGAAATAAATAATTAATTTTTATTTTTAGTCTGCTTTTAAGCACCTTTGAGTCTAGAATTTGTAAAAAACCTTGAAACTGACTTTTGACATACATTTATAGATAAATAATATAAAATATTATATATTTAATTGATTCACTTATGATTTTATTGTATTTCAATCTGAATAATTTAGAAAGTTCTAAAACCCTTCTTAAAGTTGTCATTTGCGAGCGAGCACTGTATTATATGTGCACATTGAGTAAGATCATGGAAATGAACAGATGTAGCTTAAAGTTTGTGTGTACTTAAATAGCTGTTTGATCTTAGGTCCATTCAAATTGTACTACAAAATGAAGTCGTGCCATAATCAAATCAACGCTTAAGTAACAGGCGCCTTGGGATCACGTCTCATGAGCTCACTGTAAGCTTTGTATGTGTGTGGAGTTCACACACGCACACACACTCACACACACAAAATGTGTGTTCCTATACATTTAAGTATCTAAGTAGTTAATAACCTCATCGATAACGCCCCAAATGTTTGGGGAGACTGAGAGCGAGAGAGAGAGAGAGAGCGCGCGCGAGAGAATGGCTGTGTGTGAGACACGGCTAGATAGATAGCGAGAAAAGCTGCGACGTCGACGTCGACGTCGACGTCAACGCTGACTGCGCTGACTGATATCATTTTTGCGGGCCGTCTAAAACAGCACACAAGTACTAAGTATCATCCGTGTAACTGGGCGGACGTCTGCTGCAGTTCAAAAGAAACGCGCCTCTCTCGTGCTCAAAAACAAAAAATATTCGAAACGTTTTCAAAAAATTGTTTTGGTTTTTTTTTTTTTTTTTTGGCGAGCAGCGGCAACAACAAGCACTACATAGCTAATGGCTCATTATTATATGGCGTACTGGGCGGCTATGTCGGCAGCGACGCGAGCGTCAGCCGCAGTGTCAGTCGCGTCATCGCCATCGCTGGGCCAGCGGCGGCAGCTGCTCGTCGCTGCTCTTTGGGCATATTCAGTTGTCGTTGCGGCTCCGGCTCCGTAGTTAGCTGCGTTTTGTTTTCGTGCGCCGCGGCAAGCATATATCTGGCAATCAGGCAGTCGTCGGTCGGTCTGGCGCGGTATCCCTGCACGCATTCGCTGCTGGCGTCTAGTCGGTTTCACATTGCGGATACGTGTTCTTGCGGATTCGTCTGCGCATAACGCATACGCCGTGTTGTGCCGCGTTGATTGAACAAATATGCAAAGGCGACAATTAACGCAGTCCGCAATTTCTACGCACATTCTTCAGCTGTGAGCTCAGTGTGAAGGCGCAGTCAGGCGTACCAAAGAGTTGTCATGAATCTACTACAAAGCAAGTGCCAATTGCCACGCCTCCGTAGCGCCCCTACAGTGTGCCCAATTATGAACTGAAATTTATATGCTTTTTATTACGTGTGCCAGAAAAGACGCATCGTAAATTCGAAAATTGTTTCTGTTGCGTATTTTTGGCGCGCTCAAAAAAGTTGAATAAAAATAACAAATAAAAATGACAATAATAATAGTGTGTGCAAGTGCGAGTTGCTTGACAATGTGAACTGAGAGACCCCAGAGACAAGAGTCAGAGTCAGAGACAGAGACAGAGACTGAGACTGAGAATCTCAATGGGCATTCTCGCCAGCTAATATGCATACGTATGTGCGCTCATGTGTGTATTTTGTGTTGCTCTGCTTATATTGCGAAATAAATTGAAACATATTTGTAAAATAAATAAAACAGAACGCGCCGCGTCTGCCGATGCCGTTGCCGCTGCTCTGTGGACTACCTTGAGACAATGTTGATTTGTTTTTATGTACTTTACACATGCGGGTGTCTACGTGCATAAGCGCATACACAATACACAAATAATAATGGGCCGTGAATATGTTTTCGAATTGCTTTTAGATCTCAGCCGAAAATCGAACTTATTGCGGGCCATTAAAGCATACAAAATCAGCCGGCCCGCCACTTATAAATGTTATTCCATTTCTTTTCGCAGGAATCGCCAATTGGGCCTCAGATAATCGCGATGGCAATCCAACAGATAAGGCAAGTGTTTCCCAAAGCTGTGCAACAATTTCATTTTTTTTTCATCTATTTGTATTGTTTTAACATTCTCAAAATATGAAATAATAGCCACCAAACAAATAACACTAAAACTGGGTCAAGATTGTAATTGTCTAAGTGAACTTGCCGATAAGAGCTCTGCTGCGATAAGAGCAAATGTTGACTAATGCAGTTATAATCAATGTGTGGAAGTTGCTGGCACTAAAACACAGATTAAATATCAATAGATATCAACGGAGCACGTGCAAAGTTTTGCTATGGCTTCCCCATATCCTGTGCCCAAAGCTAATACGGGCGTATTACTTTGGATAGACAGACATTACAAATGTAGAAAATGTTCTTAGAGGAACTTGAAATGGTATTGTGCCAACTCCAGCTATTAGACAATCTAATTATTCCGGTTTTAAAATCCTACTAAAACTGGAAATTCATAAGATTTTGATGGGCAATCTGCCAGCGCCTGAAAGTAAATTGTTTTATGTTTATAACGTTTCGTTGTTTATTTCTATTATTTGGCATACACATCAATATTAATATTTACAAAATATTTTACCTAGGCTTTGTCTTTTTAGTGTGTTTTGCTTTGAATTTCAACATATTCAGATAGCTTGCTGCGTTAAATGTAAACCAAATTAGTTAGTATTTGAAAACTAGGCACAGGGTATCTTTTGGTTATGATACAGAGATAGTAGCGTATTTATATTTTGCTTTTTTTTTTTGAGTAACTTTCATTTTAAGCGCTAATTAGATTAACATCAGGTATATGATTCCAGTTTGGGCGTTAAGCGTAAAAAAATGATTTAGAGCAAGTTGGTCGCTTGATGTAAGCACACACACCCACACACAAACACACAAACACACACTGATACACACAAACAAGGAGCGCAAATTCCAGTGCGAGCGCATGTTTCTCAAATATTTAAATTTATGCCGGGACTGCAGGAAGGTGCAGACATGCAAAAAACGCAGCTGCTTGGACATATTGAACTCAAGCAACTCTTCTCTCTCTCTCTCTCGTGCTCCACAGTCAGCTGCAGATGCGGCCAAGCTCAATCGCAAGGAGTCGTACAAGGCGCAGCGCAAGAACTACAGGCGCGAGAAGAAGCGCGTGGCCAGCGAACTGATGAACTCTCTGCAGGATCCGGCGGTTATAGTACTAGCTGACTGGCTGAAGGTGAGTCTATTTTACTGTCTGTACTGTATTTTAACCCTGACAACACGCTTCTTCCTTGTCTCTGGCAGGTGCGCGGCACACTCAAGTCCTGGACGAAGCTGTGGTGCGTGCTGAAGCCGGGCCTATTGCTCATCTACAAGAGCCAAAAGACAAAAAGCAGCCATTGGGTGGGCACAGTTATGTTGACCTCTTGTCAGGTCATTGAGCGACCCAGCAAAAAGGATGGTTTCTGCTTTAAACTCTTTCATCCCATGGAGCAGTCCATTTGGGCACCACGAGGACCAGACAAGGAGACAATCGGTTAGTGAGCAAATTGAACACTTGCGACATTAAATTATCAGGTGATTCCGTTCACTTACAGGCGCTGTGGTGCAACCACTGCCGACCGCTTATCTGATCTTCCGTGCCCCCAGTCAGGCGGCCGGCAAATGCTGGATGGATGCACTCGAGCTGTCGCTGCGCTGCTCAGCTTTATTGCTGCGCACCAACAGCAGCACCACGCCTTCCAGCAATTATACCGGCGAGCCGCTGCCCGTCTCGAACGAGACACAGTGGTCAGAAGCCGATTACGAGAAGCATTTCAACGATCATGGTAAGTGGATGCAGCAGTGGCTGGCACCGCCGGCCGAGCAGGAGAACTCCCGCTCCGACAACAGCCAGTCGTCGCGCGCCCAGACGCCGCTATTGCAGCAGCTATATAGCAGCGCCGTGAGTAACTGGGAGCGCACCAAGCGACTTCCTCGTTTTGGCCAACTTTCGGGACAAACACGACGCGGCAGCGATGCCTCTACCGCTGACCCAAAGCCAGGCAGACGCCTGCGCAGGCATCTGAGTCCGATCAGCAAATCCCTATCGCTAGGCGGCGTGCTATGCGGAAGCAGTTCCAGTGACGACGAGGACGTGGATTACGCTGGCAGCAGTGTATGCGCTAAAGGAGCAGGCTTCAGGCCAGTTAGTGCACCGCCCGATTGTCTGCTGCTGCCGCGATTTCAAATCAACGTGCAGGGTGAAGGCCCCAACCAGATTTCGCTCTATATATTAAATATATATTCATGTCGTAGTTGTTATTGTTGTTGGCAACCGGCTAGTTAGCCAGGAGATTCGACAGTTGATTTTATCGAATCAACAGCTTTGATGCTTCCACATAAAGTAGTCTCGGCGTTTATTGTTCAAAATTCATGTAATTGTAATGTGGTGCTCGAGGCTAGTTTTAAACAACTATCTCAGTCACTCATCCACCCATCCAAAAGCCGGTTCACATTAGCATTAGTTTATGGAATATATCATCATTGTAGCGGTGCTGCTGCTGCTTTGGCTAGAGAAACGTGTGTAGAGAGCTACAGTTGAACAACTTATCAACTCGTTACAGATCTGGACGCTGACAGCCAGAATGAGGCGCCCAATGCGGCCATGTCTGGTCTCGAGTCTGATTCAGAGTCAGAGGCGGCGCAGGAAGATGATCTTGACCAAGTACAATGCGAGGAGACGTGCTATGTCCCATTCCAAGAAGAGGAATTCGGTGAGGTAAGTACAACTATTTGCGAACCCATTTAATAATTGGCCAGATAATTCATCTATGTGCGTTTTTGATTGGCTCCAGCAAGGAGAACAGGTGGAGGAGCTGGCAGAGGAGAACAAGAGCCTCATCTGGTGTATCGTAAAACAGGTTCGACCCGGAATGGATCTTAGCAAGGTGGTGCTGCCAACATTTATACTCGAGCCGCGTTCGTTTCTGGACAAGCTCTCAGACTCTTATTATCATGCTGATTTGCTCTCCAGGTAGGTGCTCCTGCCAATATGTATTTGTCTGCTGGTGACCCTCAATATCGAGTTGTTCTACTTGGCAGGGCTGTGCATGAGGATGATGCATTCACGCGCATGAAGATCATTGTGCAATGGTACCTGTCTGGATTCTATAAGAAACCCAAAGGCCTCAAAAAGCCATATAATCCCATATTGGGCGAAACGTTTCGCTGCTATTGGAAGCATCCAAATGGTTCTCGCACGTATTACATTGCCGAGCAAGTCTCTCACCATCCGCCCGTTTCGGCCTTTTATGTGACTAACCGCGAGGATGGCTTTAGCATCACCTGCTCCATCTTGGCGAAATCGAAGTTCTATGGCAACAGCACATCGGCTGTGCTGGAGGGCACGGCTACGATGACGCTATTGCCCCGCGGCGAAATTTATACAGCGACCACGCCCTACGCTCACTGCAAGGGTATACTCATGGGTACATTGTCCATGGAACTTGGCGGCAAGATAAACATCGAGTGCGAGAACACCGGTTACAAGACGGAGCTCGAATTCAAACTGAAGCCATTCCTCGGCGGCGCGGATGCCACCAATGTGGTCGTGGGCAAAATTAAATTGGGCAAAGAGACGCTGGCAACTATACAAGGTCACTGGGATAAAGAGTGTCGCCTCAAGGATCTGAAAACAGGCGAGGAAATTTTGCTCTTTAAGGCCGATGCAGACATGCGCTCGAAACGGCTCACCCGCTATTTGGTGCCATTGGAAAAACAACTGCCAACCGAGTCGGAACGCCTCTGGAGTCTCGTATCCGAGGCTATTGCGCGCGAAGATCAAGTTGCTGCCACTGAAGAGAAAACCGTGCTTGAGGAAAGCCAGCGGGCGTCGGCCAAGGAACGTGCTGAAAACGATAAGAAACATATTCCGACGCTTTTCGAGCTGAACGATTACGGTCAATGGATATACAAATATTCAGATTTGCGGCCATGGGACGTGCGTAATGATGTGCGCCAATACGAATGCGATTACAAGGTGATCACCGAGACTCGAAATAAAACTGTTCCCGTTGTGCTCGGCGCCGACAAGTTGATTCCTCTGCGTGCCGGTATGAATTTAGTCACTCGGTCCTTTAGACATTTAACTATTGTACCTTCCGCAGAGGGCTCCAAGGCGCCCAAGGCTAAAAACAAATCCCTTGTGCTGGCCCCACGCGACACCAACTCGGATTCAAGCCAATCACCCCAAGGCGCCGTCAAGCGCGGCTCCAATAGCGCCGCCATCAAACAGTGGGTGTTCAATCCTTTCCTTTATAAATATCTATAGTATACATAATATTTTCTGTGATTTTTCAGACTCACAAACGCCGTGGAACAGATGAATGCAACACTGCAGAGTCACACGAAACAGCTAAATGACATCACACGCCGACTCGAGCGTATGCAGTATGCACCGTCCTCTAGACACTCCAATGTGCACGAGCTGATTGGCGGCGGCGTTTCCTTATCGACGGTGATCAAGTCGCTAATTTATGCTCTAATTGGGCTCATGGTCAGCTTAATTCTGCGTTGGCTATTCAAATAGTTCTATTGGTTAATCTGTATACATTTAAGTCAAATTATTGAGCTACATATATTTATATATAGTTTATATATACAACCCATATTATTCTAAATCTATAACCACGCCTCCTCTATTGTACTATATTCTGTCCCACTCAGAATGCCTTGGCATCCAGCCAAAGAACCAGATTCGCTGTTTTAGTGCGCGTCTAGAGTCAATCACGAATTATATTAGTCTAAATTTAAACCCATCTAATAGCTAGTGCGGCCACAATTGTTGAAAATCTCGTATCATTCAGATACGTTTAGACTAATGCGTTTTATAGAGAATGGAGTTTATCGCTGACACTAAAAATCTAACCAATTTCTGTATCAAAACAAATGCATATACATATATACACACTAGTATTCACAAAATAATATATATATTTATATATAGATCATTTGAAGCAGCTGCTTGAGAGGCTTTCTCATTGACAAGGACACCGTGCAACACTCATAACCATTTAGAAGTTAAATGCTAAATTGCTTGTAATAAATTTAGTGTAGTTTACACACACAACACACTTTTTTCATTAAGCAAACACAAATTGTACAACCTGGAGAACACTTTTGAATATTTAACTTGAAATAAACATTTGACACATTTCTTTCCTTTCATTTCCAAAATTGTTCTAACTGAAGAACAGTCACAGAGGGTAAGTTTTGCAAATTATAATTGAAGGGATATTAATTGAGTCGTTCGAGGAAAGGGGCATACAGAATTTGATTGTGGCCAATTAAGGGTAGTTGCTGTCAGTTATTTGAGTATAAAAATTTAAGAACAAGACATTTTCTCTTCTAGAACATTGGATATTCATTTCATTCTTTCACTCACAGCAATATACTTATAGGTTTTTGTTTTTGCTTTTATTCGTTTTATTGTTTTTGCTTTTTGCTTACAATTACAAATAGTTTATATATATTTATATATATACTATATATTTTCTACAACATTTACGGTCATTCTCATTTTCAATTTAGCTGTTTTACAATTTTTCACTTATTATAGGGACTCTTGTCTCTCCGTTTACTACGTTTTGTTCTATAAGCAATCCGGTTTTGGGGATTTATTAACGCGATTGCGACTGCGACTGCTAACTCTATGATGTTCGATGTTGATCATCGTTCCGGTTTAGTCATGTGAGTAAAAGATGCTGCTAAATATGCGCTAAGAGTACACTTATTTAAATAGTTTCTGTTTGTTTTTGTTTTCTAATTACGCCTTACACTTAGCGGGATGGCGAATGGGAGGGGGATTACACAGTATAGTAGCAATAACTAGATTTTTTTTCATTATATATATATTACGTTCGGCTTAACATTTAACACGACGAGAAGCTGAGAATCAAGATCTCTCGGTCCTGCAACTAAAACGGTGTATGGGCTGGTGTGGGAGGGTAGGTGACAACAGTTAAGAAGCTAATAAGTAGGATTAGATTAGAGTTTAGTTTTGTTTAGGTTTAAACACCCTGTATTATGTGTGTGTATTATTGTTGTGTGTGTATATGAATACACACAGCTGTATATATGTATATATATATATATATATATATGTATATATATGCATGTACAAATATGTATGTACGCGTACGGCTAGACTTAACTTACAGTTGGACATGCATGTGGATCAGCTCTACTATAGTTTACATACAATTGCGCTCTGCACAGCAGGTAAATAACACTTTTCGAGTATATATTCAAATATATATGTGTACATATATGTAAATGTTTGTTTTTATGCATGTTTGTATGTATTTAATGTATGTACGTACTTTATGTACTTATGCATATATCCGATCTGTATCTAGTATAACTGTATGTGCTTATGCATATTGCACGATTCCTCAATGGCTACTTGACTGGCTGACAGACATACGGGCGAGCGGGCTCGGGCTAGGGCTTGGGGCTACGACGCGTTCACTGGCCGAAGATAGTCTAGCACGTGTGGACCCGCAAATGATTTTGTAGCGTGCTCTTTTGCCGGAACTGTTTGGGGCAGTAGGAACAGTTGTAGGGCTTCTCTCCGGTGTGGATCTTCATGTGGTTATTGAGCGTGGCCACTTGCCGGAAACTAACCTCACAGATCTTGCACTTATACGGCTTCTCGCCCGTATGCGTTTTGATGTGATTGACCAGGGTGCTCTGCTGGGAGAAGAAGCGCCGGCAGACGCTACACCCAAAAGGCCGATCCGGATTGTCGCCTTTCAGCATATTTATATTGCCTACATTCAACCGAGCACCCTGAGCATTCTGGTAGTGTTCGACTTTAGTGTTGGCCGCCGCTGCCGCTGCTACATTGCTGGCCACCACAGAACTCACTGTCGTGCTGCCATCGAGGAAGTGTAGCAGAGGATGATGGTCCAGCTGAAGGATGTTGGGCGTTGTGCTGTGCAGGTTGTTGGGCAGCAAGCCGCTCGTCAGCTGCTGCGTGCCGGGTGCGAGAGGCGCTGGCATGGTTGAGTGATCCACTAAAAGTCCGCATGTGTATTGATTGTTGCATGGATGGTATTGGTTGATAGATAGATAGTTCGGTTAACCGTACAGTTCAGTTGGTTGTTGATCGTTGTTGTTGTTGTTGTTGGGGGTGTTGTGGTTGTTGATTGGTTGGCATGCGTACAAAATTTAAATAAAAGCTTCGTTAGGGAAGTGCGTTAATGATCAATGCACACAGTGATAACAGAAAGCGGCTCAGTTGTAGGGCGAACACACAAGCGGCTCACCTGTGGCTGTGACTGTGGCTGGCTGGCTGGCGAGATGTGTGTGCGTCTTCATGTGGTTGGTGAGCGTGCTCTGCTGCCGGAACTGCATGTGGCAGTAGGAACACGTGTATGGCTTATCGCCGGTGTGTATCTTTTTGTGATTGGCCAATGTTGCCAGCTGGCTGAAGGACTTATCGCAAGTCTCGCACTTGTACGGCTTAGGATCGATGTGCGTCCGCTCGTGATTGTGCAGCGTGCTCAGCTGCGGGAAGCGACGCTTGCACACACTGCACTGATACGGTTTCACCAGTTCCTCCGCCTGTGGTGAGCTATAGGTGCCCGAGTATAGAGTCTTTGAGATTTGTACACGCTGCTGCTGATGCTGCTGCTGGTAGGCGTTGTGCATCTGATTCGACTGCGATTTACGGCTATGCTTGCCGGATGAGGACGGCGGCTGGTAGTTGAGTAGCGACGTCGGCGTGCTTGACTCAGCCGCTGCAATTGCATGAGTGTGTGTGTGTGTGTTTGTAGGTGTATTAAAATCAAAAATTGCAGTTATAGTTATTGCTGCTACACATGTTTCTTATACAAATATATATATTTATATCAAGATGATGTAGTTGTCCCGCACTTACCCTTATGCGTCTTGATGTGATTTATGAGCGTGCTCTGCTGGCGAAAATCCTTGGCGCAAATATTGCACGTGAACGGTTTCTCGCCTGTGTGGATCTTCACATGGTTTGTCAGCGTCGATATCTGTCGGAAGGCCTTGTCGCAATGCTTGCACTTATAGGGACGTTCGTCTGTGTGTATTTTCATATGATTGCGTAACGTGGTCAGCTGCCGGAACTTGTTTTTGCACACGTGGCACTGTTTCTTCTTGCGCGGATCGTCCACCACAGACTCATCCTCGCTAATGACGCTCTGTACCTCCTGTTTCATGGGCGATATGGGCGTGTGATTGCCACCGCTGTTCGTTGTAGTTGTCGAAATATCAAGCAGGTGGACAAGCGGATGCTGTGGATGTAGCATGGCTTGATGGGTGGGATGCTGTATGGCCTGCACGGCGGTCAATTGATGCAGCGCAAACGGGCTCTGCTGCAGGCTCGCAATAGTCGTTGGCTGTTGTAAACTGTTCGGACCGATGCCACCGCCACCAGATCCACCGCCGCCGCCTCCACCACCGCCTCCGCCACCACCGCCACCAACGCTATGCGTGGCAAGCTGTGAAGGCGCATAGTGCTGATAGTTGGCCATAGCAGCTGTCGCGGCCGTCGCATGGTTCAAATGCATTGTACTTGCTTGCTTTCGTTAATTGAGTCGCGCCCTTTCAGGTATTCGAGAATCGAGAATCGTCTGCTCGAGCGTCAGCTTTGTTATTTTATTGTCTGCTCATGAAGGTAATGTTATACAATTAAGTCGAAAAGTCGCAGCCATTTGCACAAGCACCCCGTCGGTTTGTTATTTTAGATGTCTGCTCGTTTCAGTCGCGGCTGCTGCTTTGCCAACGGCCACACGTTGCGTTCCACGTATGCGCTGTGGCGCTCAATATGGTGTACACTTTGCGCGGCACAACATTCCACACACTTTGCAACGTTTTTGCAATTGTTTGTGGCGCTTTTTGTGTGATTTGTGCAAATTTTCTCAGGCCACGCTCTTTTTTATCCTTATCAAAACAAAAATGACTGGCGTGGTTTTCCAGGGCTGCAGAACGTGCAGAGCTGCATCAGGGGTGGTCGTTGTCCATTCGATTATCGTTTATCGAATACCGAAAATCATGTACGATAATTAATAAGGGCTGCACAGCACATTTTTCGTTGCAGCTGCAAAACAAGTATGCTGCCGATAGGAATCATCGATTCGATATCGATATTGAGAAAAGTTATGATTTAAAATAACCAATCGGAAAATATAAGTGTTTCATAGAATTTTTGAAAAATAGCTACGCGTAGATATGTATAAGCATCAGAATATAAGAATAAGAATGTAAGTATCTTGCATTTTATATTAAAAATATCAGAATTAATGTAAAGGTACCTCCTGAAATGTATTGACCATATGATACTAGCCACACACACAAGACGCTGCAGTAGTTGTAGTAGCATTGACCTACCCACTATTGCGGCGTATATAAGACCATCGTCTTCTATAACCCAGTGTCCAAGCTTAATATGTTGTCTATACGTATATCGTTCCAATATCGGATATTTTCCCAAAAGATCCGAATTAAGATAAGCAAACACCAGCTAGTTTATTATATAAGCTTTCCTCTAGTATCATAACACAAAAATTATAATAGTAGTTTTCAAATGAAATTCATATTGACAAATAGTCGTAGTCGCTCTGTATCATGTATATAATATTAACTACGATGCTAGCTATATATTGAAATAGGAATCGAAGATTAATGTTTAGTACACCAAAGATATTGATGTTCTTATTTTGCCATATTAGCTGCAGAGCCAGCCAGTCATTCTGAAATGGGTAAATTATTAAAATAATGAAACAAAATTGAAATGATGAACATACACTGCGTTCCAATAGATCCAAATCAAAGTAAGGATAGCGTAAAATGTGAAAAGTACTATCATGAAGATCACCAGCCGTGTTGGCTATGCTGGCCAGGATGTAAAGTTCCAATGCATCGCTGGCGCTTAAAAATAATATAAGCCAATCAGTTTTAGGGGTGAAAGATTTCATGGGCTTTCCAAACAACAGTCGAAAAAGTGAATATCCACTCAAACAGGAATTGCAAGTTAGTTGGAGCAAACAACAAGCCAACGGATATTTGAAGATTATGCACAACTCATCAATCATTTGGACTAGTCTATAGTACATCCGATGTAACTCCAATAGTATTGTTTGTTTCCTTGACATTGGCATAGGTCGAACAAGTAAATTCTCTAGGTAAACCTGAAGTTTCATTAATGTATAACTTATTTGCCAGATGAGATTAAATAGCAGGAAATATATTCCTCCTTTCATAACTCTAGCTACGAGAACGCTAAAATAAAAGAAAAATCCATTCTGTCCGATAAGCATCCGTAGAATAAATATGACATCTTGCGGCATAAGTAGCAAGAATCTGATCCAGAAAAGCCGTCTTAGATATGGCTGCTGAGATGGTGTGATGGAACAGTTGGGTTCGATGGCAAGATCCTCCATTTTCAGCAGATCCTCCATCAACTTGAATATCCTGTGCTGCCAGCGATGTACACAGAAAATACAACTCAATACCGTCAACAACGTGCTAGCGGGATAAGCAACTATTAAGACGGATGTAAGCTTGGATTGAGTAAGAAACGGCGGGGCTTTAATCCAATATATATTAATCATCGTTGGGAAACCGCTCAAAATAAATAAACTGAGTAGTCTACTATAATAGCACAGTACACGTGACTTTATCAATTTGCCCGTGCGAATATCAAAGTAGAATCCAGAGATTCCACAAAATGCGAAGAGATATGTTATCCACGCGTAGACCAAGTGCTTTCCCCCGGACATTTTGAACACGACTAGCAAGCCGCTAGGTGAATGCAGTGCAGTGCATTAAATCAATTAATAAAACGCCTTACACTGACTTGTGACAGGACACAGGACACGTGGGAAATCTTATCTCAATCTAAATGATATTGGCTGTCTTATACTAAATTGTCTAAAGCATTTCTTAGTCAATTTTCTCCGCCCATCCATATCCAATGTATTAAGAAATGCATAATGGATAATGTATCTGAATGTACATTTTAATGTCGATCAAAGAATCCTCTACGCTTTTGTTTTGAATATTTGTTTAACATATTCTTTGGTTGAACCAATTCTTATCCTTAATCCTTATAATCAAAGTATTTCATATTATTTTGCCAAATAGTGGTAGTCACTCTGTACCATGTATATAATATGAAGTAAGGAGCTGGTTACGACTAGAAATACCAAATGTAGATTGATGGTTATTACGCCAAATATGTAGATGTTCTTTGGTTGCCATGTTAGCTGCAGGGCGAACCAGTCATTCTACGAGAAATAAGTCGTCAAAAATGTAGCATAAATAGGAACGATGAACATACATTACGATCCAATAAATCCGAATCTGGGCAAGGGAAGCGTAAAGTATAAAATGTACTGTTATGCAGATCACCCGCCTTGTTAGCTATGCTGGCAAAGACGTAGAGTTCTAGAGCTTCACCGACGAATACAAGTATTATAAGCCATTCCGTGGTAGAGCTAAATATTGTGAAGGGCTTTCCAAACATCAGTCGAAACACTGAATATCCATTCATACAGGTATTGCAAACCAGTTGGAACAAGCCAAAAGCCAGCGGATATTTGAAAATTACGCACAACTCGTTAACCATGCGAATGAGCTTATAGTACATCCGTTGTACTTCTATAATTTTGTTTACTTTCCCTGACGATGGCATTGGATCAAGAAACAAATGCTCCAGGTATAGCTGCAGTTTTATGAATATATAGCATATCTGCCAGACTATACTAAACATTAGGAAATATAATCCATTCTTAAAAGATCTCGCCACAAAGATGCCAATATAAAAAAAAAAACTCATCTTTCCCATTATCAGCTCTGTACAAAATGCAACAACTACAGGCATTAGTACAATTAATCTGATCCCGAACAGCCGTTTGAGACGTAAGTTCTCTGATGGTGTGATGCAATAGTTGGGATCGATTCCTAGCTCCTCAATTTTCAGCAGATCTTCAATCATCTTGAATATTTTATGCTGCCAGCGTTGTACACAGAATAAACAGCTTAATACTGTAATCAACAACGTACCGGGATATGCGTTTATTAAGAGAGACATTAGCTTGGATTGAGTAGCGGCCAGCGGGATTTTCATCAAATACAAATATATCATCGCTGGACAAGTGCTAAAAATAAGAAGACTAAATAGTCTATTATAATAGCACAAGACACGCGACTTAATCACTCTGCCCGTGCGTATATCAAAGTAGAATCCAGTAATTCCACATAACGCTAAGATATATGATATCCACGCGAAGGCCAAGTGCTTTCTCGAGGACATTTTTACCACGACTAATAAGCTCCTAGGTTACTGCCACCACAAAATCAATTAGTAAAGCACATTTAAAAGCCATGTGTATGGCGCGGGGCAAAAGAAAATCAAAATGGAAATGACAGCTGACATTTTCTGTGCATTTTTTATTTGCGACTTAAGTTTTGATAATTTTAGAAGGTGCAAGCAAAATAGTCGATTGGTCATTCGAATTTTGTTGTGTTCGGATATAAATAGGTAAAAGTCTTGTTTTACCGCCTCAAAATGTTTCAAATAGTTAGTATTACTCTTACTCAAAGTCAGAAGCAACCTACCGCAGGCACACTATGCTTTCTTCTTCTCATACTGGCAAGACAGGCAGTTCCAGGTTAAATGTGGAAAAGCTATCTCTCCAATTAAAGTCATTACAGCGGGCGTTCCCCAAGGCAGAGTGCTGGGCCCCCTACTATATAATATCTATACTGCAGATCTTCCTGTTATTGGGAACCCTAACCTTCTAGTGGCCACATATGCCGATGACACGGCATTCCTCGCGTTTGCTGAGACAGCTGAAGATGCTTCGCGGGTCACATAAGGCCAATTGGACACACTCAACGAATGGCAGAGGAGATTGAACATCATGGTGAACATCGAAAAGTCCACAGCCACCACTTTCTCTCTCAGGCCTGGTAACCGCCCACCTGCCTTTCTAGGCGGAGCTATAATACCAGAAGAGGCGACGCCAAAATACATTGGCATGACTCTCGACAGGAGGTTAACTTCGAGAACTCACCTTTTAAAGAAAAGAAAATCATAAAATCCTCTTACTGGCGTACTCGGTCAAAGCTCCTTGTCTACAAGGCAATTATCAAACCGATTTGGACTTACGGCATTCAGTTATGCGGTACTGCCAGCCGAAGCAACCTAAGATTGATTCAGATATTTCAAAACAAAGCACAGCGCATCATTTTCAATGCACATATTTACGATGACAACGCTTCCATCCACAGTGTTCTCAAGATTCCATGGGTCAGTGAGGAGATAGCCAAAAGCAGCAGCAGATACCTGCATAGGCTCCACCTGCACAACAACAACCTAGCAGTTGGCCTACTGGACAACAGCAACACCACTAGAAGACTGAAAAGAGTACCGGGTGTACTGGATCTTCCAAAAATAATTCAATCTATCAAGGAATTCAACACAGAAAAGGCACTTTGAAGGTTAACTAACTTGGATCAAGATATACTATTAAAATAACTCTCATGTAGAACATATAAAGTACGATGCTAATTATAAATATGAAAACGAAATGAAGGTTAATGTTTAGTACACCCAAGATGTGGATGTTCTTATTTTGCCATATAAGCTGCAGAGCCAGCCAGTCATTCTGAAATGGGTAAATCATTAAAATAATGACACAAACGAATGATTCGAATGAATAACATACACTGCGTTCCAAAAGATCCAAATCAAAGTAAGGATAGCGTAAACTGTGAAAAGTACTATTATAAAGATCACCAGCCACCAGTGTTATTGCTAGAGAGTTCCAATGCATCGTGGGCCTAAAAGTATTATAAGCCAATCAGTTCAGGGGTGAACGATTTCACATTCTTTCCAAACATCAGTCGAAAAAGTGTATATCGAACTCGAAAATCATGTGGATTGTAAGCTTGGATTGAGTAGGATACGTCGAGTA